ATATATATATATATATATATATATAATGATAATTAAATTTGTTTAAGGAATTGCTTTCCCCGAATCCCGGTCGAGGCAACCAATTCTTTGAACAACTTCAATTATTAAAGTGTAATGTTACTCAGTAATGTGGTCACAATTGGGATTACTTTACGATTGCGGAATATACGAATTCGTATATTCCGAGCGTAATTGCGTCCAACAAGGTGATGGGAATGATGTTCGGAGTATGATGTTGGATACACGACGTTTCCTGAATTAATTATTCATATTATCAGGTACAAGAAACACATTTTTTGATGTGGAATCCTGTCAAACAAGATCTTGTGGATGTCTGTTTTCATTCCTAAGCCAGTTGTCAGCACTCTAGCGCTTTAGGAATAATTTTTTTAACTTCTCAATTACAGATAAAAATGTTAATCCCTTTTCAGTATTTGAGTAACTCCCGAGTGTGTGGATGTTCGAATGTTCGGATGTGCAGTTCCGCCACTCAGGGTAGACCACTTCCGTCTACCAGCCGAGACGTACGATGTATCATGCGAGGCGTCTCGGTCTCCTGATGGGGACCTGATAATTTTTTTTTTCGAATCCGGATAGAAAATACTAAGAAATTTCCAAAACGTGCTTTTGTGTGTTTTAGCGCTACGATTTTAGTGAGTAGATTGAGAATTAAACCAACACCACCTAATTATATCTGGCATTGATTAAATCCCAGTACTCCGTGGTTATTTTCAGTGCACGACATCATAATTTTCTCCCATGAGGATGGCAAGCAAATTGTTGACAAACGAGCAATTTCAAATGAAAATCGTGCGGCAGAAAAAGTTTGATATAAAATTCCGTTTATCAATATGACCAAACTCCCCACTCCTCTCGCGACTAGCGAAGGGAGAGCTCAGGAAAACATACGCGAATACACCAGTAACATTCAAATGTGGCGCCCCCGCTGTCGCAATCAGTTCAGGACGCCTCCGCCGGAGGTCGCGGCGGCGCGTGCGCCGGCGCTCAGCCTGTGTCGGCGGGGAGGGGGGAGGAGGCGCAGGTCGGCGGCGGCGGTAGGCGGACGGGCATCAGTTCGCGACAGCCGCACTGGCGGAGAGGCAGGCGGCGGAGGTGCCGACGACGACAACAACGACTGTGCGTGTTCATTCAACGATCCGACCCGACGCGTGAGGAGGAGAGCGAGGGAGTTCGGGAGCAAGCGAGGTGCAGCGAGGCGGCGCGCTGCAGCAGACGGCGACTGCGATGCCGGGCGAGGCGGCCGCGGAGGCGGCGCCGGCGCCGGCGGCCACCGAGGCGCCGGGCTCCGGGTCGAGCCCCGGTAACAGCCACGAGAACGACGCCGGCGGCGGCGGAGGAGGTGGCGGCGCCAGCCGCGCCCCCGTCGTCAACGGCAGCAACGTGGAGACGCTGGGCAGAGGCGCGGGCAAACAGGTAGGCAGGCGTCCGCTTCGAAGCCCCCGGGCCCCGGCCCGGCCGGCGACATGGCGCCGACGTCCCGGGCGGTGGTCCTACGCTCGAATCCAGCGGACGAAATCGGTTTGCCGGTTGCGCACGTTTGAAAACGACGAATCTAAGGCTAAAATAATGTTTTCAAATAACACTCCCATAATTTCAATTAATTCACCCCGTAGATTTATTGCACCCGAATAGTTTAACAAACGTTTTTTCGTCCCGTCTGCTTCATCAAGAAATTTATTTTCGTGCATCTGGGTTGCGGCTGTGTAGATGGCGGCCGGCGGTGACAGCCGGCTGCTTCGGACCACCCTCCTCGCCGGCTGATCCCCGGGTGGCGCGAATTGATGCCCCAAACGCGGGGGGGGGGGGGCGTTTGGATTTCGGAAGGGGAACTCGTGATAGTCAATGGAAGGCTTTGGGTGGAGGAAGTAAGCTAGGGAGGGCGTCATGGTTCGTTAAAAAAATATGTGTTGCAGACACGTTTTACCGAAAAGAGGTTCTGTAGTGGAGGAGAAGTTACGAGTATAAGAGATTGGAACAGTAATGTGCTATTGATGATTGTTAGGTGTCATTTTTGGCGTACATTTATTGTCGTTTATTAGCGAAAACTAATAAATTTTCTTAAAAAAATGTTGTTTCAAAACTTATCTATAAATTGACAGTATTGGACAAGAAGAATTTACATTTTTTATATCATAATTCGTAGAAATCTCAGATTCGTATACAAATTATGATTACAAGTTAAGATTTTGAATTTATGACACTATGTTTACATTTTTTCTTCCTCCTACTTTTAACTGCAGTTTTACACTAATTTACACATCGGGCATTGAACTTTTTACATAAACATTTTCCGTCAGCACTTCCGTCCTCTTCTAGTAAGTCAAATCATTGTTGAACAATTGCCATTATGATTCACCCACACCATGCTTCGAATGAGTTTCGCTTTCGATTCGATCCTAAAGCTCCAATAGAATATAAAGAAACGGGGAAAGTAAAAAAGATTAGTCTGCACGGCACATTTAAAAACTAATCGGGAACAAACTTGTATATACCCTTCAAAATGAAAGGGCAATGCTTGTACAAGTTTTATTTCTCTTTTTATAGCACAACCTAGGATGTTTGTGGTTTTTAATTGATGTCAAAACTAATTTTAAGTCTCTCCCCTTTTTATAAATCTCTTCCATATTTATACATTAGAATATAATGGATAGATATTATATTGTAACATAATTCCTTTTATTATTCCCTCAGTAATATGTACCTCGAGTGGCGTCAAAACAATCGAGAATAAAGATAATATTTTAAGAGCAGAACTGGGTACTCCAGAGGAGTGAGGTTCTGCCAATGTATAAATGTCGGAAATAATGTGCTACTGAGGTCACCACCGATATGGATGTTCACATTTGATAAAAATACGCGTTCAAACGTGATAAAGTGGAATAAATCGCACATTGATGAACCAGCGTAGAATTACCTTAACTCCAACAATGTTTATGTGGATGTGGGTGAATTCCTCGTCTGGATTCCCAGCGAATGCGTTTCGCGGCGAAGGGCCAGGCAGCTGGGGCGGGGCGCCGAAAAACAAAGGAAGCGGGCCAGGGGACGCGGCCCCCCCCCTCCGCCCTCCTACTCCCGCTCCGAATCGCGTGCGCCCTCGATGTCGT